AGTACAATGAATTTCAATAAAATACTGCCTTGCAAGAGCTGTAAAATTCTGTATTTATGACAATAGTATACAAAATATTTCCCAGAAACAATATAATGTGTTTTTAAGGGTGTGAAGATCTCTTTCCATATCCACTCTCCTAATTTTAGATTTAAAGACCATTTTAGCTTCGTTCAGTAAATCTCCCAGGCAAGCTCTGATCCTATAGATCACAGAGAGCTTGAGACAGCTGAGATAAGTCTGCTCCGCACCTCTTTCAAGAGCAAGAATGCTGCTACCTCTGATCTGTTTACCTAGCTTAAGGTTAACCCAGGAAGCACTGAACGTTGAAATTAAAATGATAGTTCACACAAAAGTCAATTCACATAATTTGGAAACCATATGATTCTTTTTTCTTGAATGGAACAAAAAAGGGAAATTTTGCAGAATAAGCTTCTATTTTTCACACAACAAAGACATGATTACAAAGCCAAACTCCAAGAATAGTCCATACAACTAAAAATGTGCTTCTAAAGTCATACTGTCGGTGAGGAACAGCATTAGGTTCTAATGCAAATACAAATTTGTTGTATGATATTCGATGCCTAAATAAACAGTGAGTTTTGCAAATGTAACTTCACTTCAACATCTGCACAAGAGATAGTTCACCCAAAAGTAACATTTCTGTCATAATTTACTCACCTTCATGTATATTCCAAACCTGTATAACATTCTTCTTCTGTGGAACACAATAGAAGTTCTTTTGAAAAATGTCTCATGTTTTCTTTTGCCCATACAATGAAAGTCAGTGGGGTCCAATGTTAGAACCCCAACATTCTTCAAAATATCTTTGTTTTCTGCAGAAGAAAGTCAGTCATACAGGTATGGAATGACATTAGGTGAGTTAATATCTTTTTGGGTGAACTATCCCTGTAGAAGGACTCAAAAGGACTTTTTGAGAACAAAAGCACCTCCATCTGACATTAACTGTTTTCTGATGCAAGATCCCTCCTCATCATGTACTTGGTCTGATAGGAAAAGCAACGGTTTATAAGTTGATGAAAGAAGGCCTGGCATTTAGCATGGTAAACACATTCATCACCAGAGACAGATAATTATCTCTTTAATTTCACGAGGCCTAGCTCTTGTTGTCACAGACGCTGGAGCGCAAATAGAGGAGAATGAGGTTGGTCTTGAAAGAGGCAGCAACGCTTGTTGCCTTCTGTTTGCTCAAATAACCTTGTTCGCTGGGGTGTAATTGTAGCTCTTTGATTTGAGAGGAAGAAAAAATAAATAAGGGGTGGAGCCCAGAAAGAGGTGCCGATGAACGAGAACACCCATGAGAAACGACAGCCTGTCTTCTCTCCCTTCTCCAACTCTCTATCTTTCTCTTTATCTGTTGCTCTGTCTCATCCATTCGTCCTCTAACTCCTTCATGTTTTTCTCCCCACCCAATGTTTTTACACAAACTAACAGCCATACTTTAAACATCATTTCCAGTGACATACTTTGATTACATGCTGTTCCTGACAAACATTAAAAAGAATAATGAAATGGCACCTCAACACAAAGTAACAGGTCAGAAGCTTAATTGAATGAAGGTGGGTTTCTTTTTCCGACGGATTGCAGAAATTATGATTATCTTCAATGGCTTCTTTTCTGTCTAATGAATGTGGAAACTAGGCCCCATCATGGCCCTTCTAATCATGGTATAATCCTGCAATGAGAAAATACCTGTATTTTCTATACTGTCTCTCTTTTCCTTCTCTCTTTTTCTTCTCTCAGAAGCCAGTGATGGTACGTGAGCCCTTTCTGCTTGAGCAATTTTTTTGACATATTCAAAATCTGAGGCTGTTAACGGTATGTGAGAAGCAGTCAGTGTTTCCATAATGCCTTGACAGCACGGAACTGATCTCGACACACTTGATGCACATGTGAGAGTGACGGATTAGGAAATGGTTTTATTTGTGAATGTCAATGACTAATAGGGATAGTTCACCCAAAAAGAAAAAGAACATTTTGTGATTTACTCACCCTCATCTTGGTCCAAATCTGTATGACTTTCCTTTTTTTGTGATGATATTAAGAAAAAAAATCTGTTGCCCATACATTGAAAGTCAATGGTGTCCAGTGTTGTTTTGCAACATTCAGTTTAATGACCTGTGGATGAGCAAAGGCTGTATCCCTTTAAAGCTAAACTAGTCAAACTTGTCTGTTTTCTCACCTGGCACTAGCGCATTATTTTTCACCCAAAATGTACATTTTATAGCTTTTCTTTTCTTCCAGAGTGACATAGTGTGCAAAGCGAGGACTCAATTAACTGAATAGCAGTTTTCAGTGAGTCAGTGCTGCTGATCAATAAACAAGACATGTGTGTAATGAGCTGGCCACTGTGCGACACTCACAGACCCCATCCAGTGCATGCTGGGATAGCTAAATTTATTGGGGCAGAATATAATGGATGAGTGATCATCCCTGCATCAGTAAAGGTGTTTCATGAGGTTCAGCCTTGAGAATGTCCCGGTTAATGTCAAGGCTAAGTTAAGACACAGATTAGATGATTACAACCTCCAGCTTCATTACAGATACCACTGGCATGAAAAACAATGTTTATTCTGTTCAAAAAACGCCCACACTTTCACTTAAAGACTTATGCTTTAAGCATCCTGAACAGAGCTTATCTGGGACCAAGCAGATATGTGCCATCGTGTGTGTGTGTGTGTGTGTGTGTAAGGCAATGTTTGAGGTCATGCTGAGATCAATTGAAGCTTTTTTTTATATTATCTGCCCATAAAAAAACGAAACCACCAGTGCAGTCAGCCGCATCCATGTATTCTGATCTGCTTTTCACCGCAGGCTGTGCCACTAGGACTCCAGGATGCGGTCTGTAGCGAGAGAGGTTAAGGTTTGGGTTAGTTTTGTTGTTCTCATTGTTGACCTCATGTAAGAAATGACTGATCAAAATGTTTGTTTTCTGCACCAATTTTCCGCTGCTGAATGCATGCAGTCTGAATTGAATGTGATGAGATAAAAAATAATGTGCAATGTGAAATAATGTCAAGAAAAAACCTCTGTGTTGAGTTCTCATGTAGTCCGATTGAAAAACAAATTACTCCTATTAACCAATTCACAAGCAAATTACTAGGTTCTTTTAAAGAATCGATCAAAAAGATGAATCATTGTTTTAAAGATAGACTGGCTTGAATCAGTCTGACAAATGTTTCACTAAATGACCTTACTGAATCAATCAGAGGTGCGTTTCCCAAAAGTAACTGGTCGCAAGTTTCATTGTTACCAATAGAGTTCAATGGAACTTGCAACCATAGTTAGCTAACAATGCTTTTGTTTAGGGAAACGCAACCCAGAATGATTACTGAATCTGACTCACTTACTGAACAGCAAATTAACATTATTCAAGTGATATGAAATGTTTATGAAACAGGTTTGTGAAATTTGAATGAATATTAATAATTACTGGGTGATCATAACAATGTACAGTATTGTATGTTTTAGTATACATAACAGCAATGTTCTATAGGAAACATGCTGCAAGATAAGAACAACGCACAAAGTAAGTTTTAAGAGAAGAAAAATGTAAAGAATAAAAATAATCCAAGCATTGAATGGTTGTGATCGCCCTGCTTGAGCTGCAAGAGCTGAACATGGTTAAATGAACCACTTTGTTAACGGGTATTTTAGCTCATTCAAAATTATTTCAGTGGACTGAAATTATATGCCATTTCAGTCAAAGTAAAATGGACTAAAATTGATGAATATAGCATGACAAAATATTGACTTCTTTCATCAAAAGACAAAAAGTATGACTAAAACAAAATAGGGTGCAAAAATTAACACTGAATCTTGCACATTCACAAAACTGCATTCAGTGCTGTGGTTGAAATACACACATACTCACACATCTGTTGTTTCATTCATTTTCTAAAGAATGCACACTCTCATAGACACACACATCGATCTCACCCACACGCATTCATAACAGCATTATCCAGTATCTTTGTGGAAACTCCTAATCTCCAACAATACCCTGCTATATACGCTGATAGCGACTGCTGTATTTATTAATAATACCGAGAGGAAGGAGCGTACTAAGATTGCTGAACAGTTTCATTACACATATTAAAGTAGTAATGATTATTTTAAATATCACATCATTTCATGTGAATGAAGCGTCCCATTTTTCTTCATCCATTTCCAGAATCCACCAGTATTTAGGCATATTTAGAACCTTTATGACTCAGTGCACTTTTTATCCCCTGTCTGGGTTCGTCTGATTTCTTAGCACGCTGAATATAAGGAACAAAGCTAATGCCTTTAGATAAGGATGATTAACCTAAAATAAAATCTGCATTGTATCTTTCTGTATGGTATATGGCTTTTAGGGTGAGCCTGGTACCAGGACGCTCACTTTGTAAAGTGACTAATGGCACATGGAAAAGTTGCGATTACATAAGAATAGTCTCCAAGATGTCTGTCTACTGCTCTTGCACGTGACCTCACATATTTCTTATCTTTAAGTGCTGTAAAACTACACGAGACACTGAATTGTCAGGGAAATGAATGACAATCAGGCCCGTCTGAGAGATGATACAGCTGCTTTTAGCCTAATGATTCGCAGAGGGCTGAGGCTATTGATCATTTTGGCATGAAGCAAATGCACTGAAAATAATGAATGACAGCAGGTGTTCATATTTTTGTAATTGATTGCCCCATAATTGGACAAGTTATTGAGCTCACTGATGAAATACAAGATTGAGGGTGACGTTTTTGCAGAAAGTGACTGCTTCACAGGGAACAAATAGTTCTTTTTGAATGTGAAGCACAGGTGCAGCACTTCTCGATCGATATAGCCCAGCATGGTAATTTCTGAGTACCAAAGTCAGTTGTGTCAGTGTCTACACACTTGAAGTTATTATGTTCACTCTTATCTGGTCAATGGAAAATTGCTGTTGTTTTCCTATCTGGCTAATACAACCTTTTTTCTGTCTTCTCTAATCCTGCAGATCCCTGTGAGGGCGTCTGGCATCATGGACAGCAAACTAGATCATTGAGCCAAAGTTCCCTCTCATCCTGAGCTGTCGGTTCAGACGGTTCTGCAAACATCGGAGAATATCAGCTAGTTAACAAAACGAGGCTGTTGATCTTACATTAACAAGAAAAGGTGCCCAATAAGAGATATCTTCAGCCTCACACTTTTCTGCACACTGTTCTGCCGTTTACAGCCATGATATCAAAATTCTTCCAGAATTGTTTATCGCTGGTCCTACTTTTCCCTCTTCTTCAACTGTTGTGGCTGGACATGCTCAACGCTGCCCCCTCTGGTCCGGAGTCTGACATCTGCTCCACACTGGTCCAGAGCCGCTTCTTTGGATTCTTCCTCTCGTCCTCTGTATTTCCTAGCACACCCTGCTCCTGGACCCTGCAGAACCCCGACCCACGGCGCTACACCATCTTCATCAAGGTCACAAAACCAACCAGAGACTGCATTTCCAGACAGCACCAGACCTTCCAGTTTGACTCCTTCTTGGAGACGACACGAACCTTTCTCGGGATGGAGAGCTTCGACGAGGTGGTGAAGCTGTGTGATGCCTCTACCCACGTTGCCTTCCTGGAAGCTGGAAAACAATTCCTGCAGATCCGGAAAGGGCTGCCCAGAGCGGGTGCCGGGTCCAGGAATGGTGATGGGGAATTTAAGGTGGAGTATCTCGTGGTTGGGAAGCGTAACCCCAGCATGGCTGCCTGTCAAATGCTGTGCCAATGGTTGGAGGACTGCCTGACCTACAGTACCTCCAGCCGGCCCTGTGGCATCATGCAGACACCATGCCAATGTTGGGACCAGCCCCAGCCAGACAAAGACACCAGTGGATGCTACTTGGAGAACTGCATCCCTGTTGTGAAAGAAGGAACAGCTGACACTAGCGGTAAGCTAACAGTTTTTGTCAAGTTATAATTCAGCATGGTTGAATGGTTATTGAATTAAAAAATGTTGTTCTCTGTTCCCACTGTGGGTTTGGTAGCTTGTCGTATTTAGTAGCAAAGCAACAGAACAATCAAAGCTGAAGAAACAAGAGTTCAGAGAGAACTGAAGGAGGTTAAAAAAGAGAAGGTTTTAGGTTTCAGCTGATGTGTCCTAGCTGGGTGACCTTGGTTTCTTGGCGCCATGTGCGATCCTGTGAGGGTTCAGATAGGGATATTGGATCGGCCCGTGGGAGAGTTGATGCGGCAGACATGCTCTGGGAGTGACATGGGATAGCGGTGGTGATGCGCTTGGAGATTGATTATTAGGAAGGGAATGGGCTCGGTTACTGAGTATGATGTGATCTCTTCTCCATAAGTTGGTGTGGCACAGAAACTCAACCCCTAGGAGAGGCTGCAGCCATTGGACTGGAAGATCACTCACCCCATTGCACTGCGACCTTTCTGTGGACTTTCTCTTCCTTCTTCTCTTTTATGTCTTACTTTTTTTCTGCTTGTTGACGGATCTCCACAACTCACAGTGCTCAAAACTATCTGTAAAAGAGCACTAAAGGTGTGTAATTAATAGTATGTGTGATCCTTCTTACTAGAAATTAATTCTAATTTTTAGTTGCCTTGTCAACATTTTTATTGGCCTCACCACATATTTCTGAAGGATCATGTGACACTGAAGACTGAAGTAATGGCTCTTGAAAATTCAGCTTTGCCATCACAAGAATAAATGACATTTTAAAATGCATTATAATAGAAAAGACTTATATTTAAACTGTAACAATATTTAACAATATTACTGTTTTCACTGTGTTCTTCATAGAGTAAATGCAGCCTAGTGAGCATAAGAGACTTCTTTAAAAAATCATTAAATTTATTTATTTATTTATTTGCCATAACAATCTAGTTGTTTGGAATTCTTATGAACCCCAAACTTTTTAAATGGTAGTATATATATTTGCTAGAAATTCTTATATTTCTCATTAATTTAGGTGTTAAAATTATACAGTTATAATGTCACTCCATACATTCATAAATCACACTTAAATCAAAATTATGGCATCCGATGGAAAACATTAGAGATTGGTTTGTGGTTTTCAACAAAATATTCTTTACTTATGCTTCCAAGATTATCGTAAATTATTTTTGCAATTTCAACAAAACTTAATCTGTGTTAGCCAGCTTGAAAACATTATCTTGGAGACAAATCACAATTTGCAATGTAGACAATGTAGAATACATAACAGAAAACCAAACATTTAAGATTGCAAGGCATAAAAAATGGAGGAACAAGATCAATTAATATAAAAAGTTCAGCAGCCCGTGGCCCATCCTCAATCCTGATGCGTCACAACAGTCAAAGACGTCCGTCTAATGTATGTATACACAGCAAGAACTTATCCTATGTGAATGGCCCCTAAGACAAGCAAGGCAGATAGAATAGATGTACAGAGGGTGCGATAAAGAGAGAACATCTCATAAATTGATCGTGAGCTTGGGAGGCAAGCCAGGAATGTCTGGCTGGGCCCATCGGATGGAGCCAAAGCAGAAAGGCAAATGAAAGATGACTTTTGAAAGACAGGCTGTGCATCATTACAATGCTACTCTCCAAGACCTATCGCTCTGCGGACATCCCTAGCTCAGTCTTAATGGCATGCTGTCCATTTTATGTGTGGCCAATTTGGAGATGTGCCTCCTCCCACATCTCCTGTAGGTGGAAATGGCCCACCTCCCTCCGATTCCTAAGAGGGAAAGTGGACAGTTAAATAGAGGGACACATGAGGGAGGGAGAGTGCATTCCATCTTAAAATGCTAAAGGCGTGTCTATTGTGTGAATGTGACCCATTGCTCAGAGGCAAGGCATCATGGGAGATGAGTAGATTCATCTCTGGCAGCTCAGAGCAGTGACAGATTACGGGCTGGATTTGAGAGACAGAATGGAAGAGGAGTCGAGTGAGAAAAAGATGGAAGAGAATTTCAGGTGTGAGGTGATGACAGTAGAAAATACTGTCCTCATGACTTGCACTTTCTCGCCATTCAGGACCAATGTGTCTCAGAGAGCTTTGGTTAAGCTAGATGAAAGCACATACTTGTTATTTCTCAGCGAGGCACTTTGAATTGAGAGCGGAGTCTATAATAGCTTGGCTGTGATGTTGCTAAACTAAGGAATTTAAATTGACTGCCCCCATAGTCCTCAGTTCTTCATCTTTAGGCGCAATAACAAGATTTAACTTATCACTGTTTTGTTGTAGTCGTGTCTCTTTTCTCTGTTTCTCACACACACTTACGCCAGTGAGCCGTTTCATGCTGAGCCGTTTCATTGTGGATGGCTGAAAACGGTTGTGCGGGCAGCACTCTGTCACTGCGTGTGGGGGGTGTGTGTGTTATGAACATGTTTGGTCACCAGGGGCACACACGTTTTTAGCGCACAGCTTATAAAACTGCTCCCACTGCTCTGAGAAGGATAAGCACAGTACTTATCTCTGCTGGACGGATGGTCTGTGTCTGTATCTTTTTCTCTCTCTCACTCTCGTTCTCCTACCGTTGCCAATGCTAGCTCATGGCCCCTCCACAGCTCTCCAGAGCTCATAAAATATTCATGTTTTAATTAAGCAGTTTTACTGCCTCTATGCTTGATAATAAAAAATGCCCCAGGTTGGGTGTGCATTAGGGTGTGTATATGTGTTTTCAGAACGTATGTTAGCTGTGAGACTGTACTAGTCCATCGTAAACACACACAGGGGATGGGGCTGGGGCTGGGGCTGGGGGGGAATTTGTCAGACATCTGTCTTGCTGTAGGGGTTCATCACTATTTCATGCACACTTTCAATGAGGGATTTTGGATGGTGTTTGTTCCAAGAGGGTGTTATATTGTTGTTCATAAGAATATCAGTGTTCCATTGTTTACTTTACTTAAGCTGTTTCAGTTTTACCATCTCTATTTACAATGATACCACCACATGTTTGTCACGATAATGCTACATAGCTCTAAATCTGTAGAATTCCCCAGAGAGGTGCTTCATGCAACTAAAAAAAAAATACTGTTTTACAATAATGAGATTAAGAATCATAATGTAAATATTGGAAATGCCAGTAAGTAAAATGCCCAGGCCTAATTGTCAAGAAAGTAATGTCACAATGCAAAAAAATAAAAAAATAAAAAAATAAACCTTCACCACCAAAAATGGCGTTTCTGTATTTAGGATTTTGGATGGTGTTTGTTCCAAGAGGGTGTTATATTGTTGTTCATAAGAATATCAGTGTTCCATTGTTTACTTTACTTAAGCTGTTTCAGTTTTACCATCTCTATTTACAATGATACCACCACATGTTTGTCACGATAATGCTACATAGCTCTAAATCTGTAGAATTCCCCAGAGAGGTGCTTCATGCAACTAAAAAAAAAATACTGTTTTACAATAATGAGATTAAGAATCATAATGTAAATATTGGAAATGCCAGTAAGTAAAATGCCCAGGCATTTCCAATATTTACATTATGATATTGGAAATGCCAGTAAGTAAAATGCCCAGGCCTAATTGTCAAGAAAGTAATGTCACAATGCAAAAAAATAAAAAAATAAACCTTCACCACCAAAAATGGCGTTTCTGTATTTACTCATTTACTTTTGTTGGTTTACATTTGGAACTTCTAGCTTGATTCTGTTTTTTTTTTTGTGCATTATAACTTTCAACTGGGGGACTGAAGCTTTCAAACTTCAAAAAGGATGTAAAAGCATTGTGAAATTAGTTTATATGACTCACATGCTACTGTACATTTCAAGTCTTCTGTAACCATTCAACAACTTGAAATCTTTGGCGTGCTCATGATATCCGATTTGTGAATGAGTCGTTCATTGAGTCAAATTGTTTTCAATGATTCATCTGGTCCGGTTCGCAACACCGGTCATAATAAAGATTTTTTTTTTTGAGTTCAACTCCTTAAAGCCATCCAACACAGTCTGCTTTAGTGTTTCACGGAACAGCCATAGGGGTCTGTAATAACATGAGGGTGAGTAAATGATGGCAGAATTGTAATTTTATAAGCTTTGTTATTATACAAAGTATGCTATTTATAAAACATATTTCATTTGATAGTATTGCAACTTGGGCATGTTTTGGTGAGTTGATACGTGCATGAGCATTGCTCAAGGTGACCATTCGCAGCTTAAGTCGAATGATTTCAGCGGCCTAATGTTGTTTGTCTGGAACTGCTTAGAATTTGAGTGGGACTTGTCTGATAATGACTGGTATTGTAACTCATCTGCTGTAACTGTTAGATGAGTGTCAGGGTTGCACTACTGTGAGGAGCTAGGATACGAGGAGTAAACTCAAACAAAGGTCTTTAATCACGATAATCCAAGGGGTAACACAGGGCAGGCTGGAGACACACGTAACACGTGGAGACGTTCAAGACTCGACAACCAAACATGGGGCAGACTACACTTTAAATACATAACATAACAAGGTAATTAACGAGACACAGGTGGATCAGATAACACAATCAGACAAGGGAAAAACTAGGTCACTGGGAGCAAAAACACACTCAGACAGTCCAGGGGCGTGACAATGAGGACTGATTTTTTATATATTTAGGGGCTAATTTCGTTCTCTCTTAGAACACTTTTTGTCCAGAACTGCCTGCGTTAAAATCCTTACAAATGATTGGCCCCTTAATTGACCATTCCTCGAAAATGATTGGTTGTACCCATGGCCGGACTTACCATTGGGCTTGAGTGGGCTGCAGCCCATGGGCCCCGCCTTGTAGGGGGCCCCGCCTTTGCCCGTTTACGTTTGTTTGATTTGTTCGTTATATGCCAGTCAGAATTCAGAAATTATTAGCCGCATTTCCACTGCGCAAGATCTAAACGGGCCAGCCGGGGCTACAGCTTACAAGTACGACCTTTGAGGCCACAGTCAAACAGCATAAACTGGTTTTTATGATTATTTCACAT